AGACGCCGCGCAAACGAGAGAAGAAGAAGAAGTCTGCACCAAACGCCACTCGCTGCTAAGATGGCCTAACAGTCTCTGCAACACACACACAGACACACACACACAGACACACACTCTCTCCCCGTGTGTAGTAAAGCGTGTAGGGTTTGGCGTATGCTAGCACCCATCAGGGACAATTAAAGGCGGTGATCTGTGACCGTGCTGCCACTCCACGTCAGCGCTCGCCGTTTCAGCGCTCCACAGAGACGCCGGGGTTTCCTGACATTCACCGAGGGCAACAAGTCACTTCAGCAAACACTTCATATCTACAGACTCGGACTACAGACTGGGACTACAGACTCGGACTACAGACTGGGACTACAGACTGGGACTACAGACTCGGACTACAGACTGGGACTACAGACTCGGACTACAGACTGGGACTACAGACTCGGACTACAGACTGGGACTACAGACTGGGACTACAGACTCGGACTACAGACTGGGACTACAGACTGGGACTACAGACTGGGACTACAGACTCGGACTACAGACTGGGACTACAGACTGGGACTACAGACTCGGACTACAGACTGGGACTACAGACTGGGACTACAGACTGGGACTACAGACTGGGACTACAGACTGGGACTACAGACTCGGACTACAGACTGGGACTACAGACTGGGACTACAGACTGGGACTACAGACTGGGACTACAGACTCGGACTACAGACTGGGACTACAGACTGGGACTACAGACTGGGGCTACAGACTGGGACTACAGACTGGGACTACAGACTGGGGCTACAGACTGGGACTACAGACTGGGACTACAGACTGGGACTACAGACTGGGACTACAGACTGGGACTACAGACTGGGGCTACAGACTGGGACTACAGACTGGGACTACAGACTGGGACTACAGACTGGGACTACAGACTGGGACTACAGACTCGGACTACAGACTGGGACTACAGACTGGGACTACAGACTGGGACTACAGACTGGGACTACAGACTCGGACTACAGACTGGGACTACAGACTGGGACTACAGACTGGGGCTACAGACTGGGACTACAGACTGGGACTACAGACTGGGGCTACAGACTGGGACTACAGACTGGGACTACAGACTGGGACTACAGACTGGACTACAGACTGGGACTACAGACTGGGACTACAGACTGGGACTACAGACTGGGACTACAGACTCGGACTACAGACTGGGACTACAGACTCGGACTACAGACTGGGACTACAGACTGGGACTACAGACTCGGACTACAGACTGGGACTACAGACTGGGACTACAGACTGGGACTACAGACTGGGACTACAGACTGGGACTACAGACTGGGACTACAGACTGGGACTACAGACTCGGACTACAGACTGGGACTACAGACTGGGACTACAGACTGGGACTACAGACTCGGACTACAGACTGGGACTACAGACTGGGACTACAGACTCGGACTACGGGTTGTGTGGCTTTAAAAGAGGGTTGTGTGGTTTTAAAGGAGGGTTGTGTGGCTTTAAAAGAGGGTTGTGTGGTTTTAAAGGAGGGTTGTGTGGCTTTAAAAGAGGGTTGTGTGGTTTTAAAGGAGGGTTGTGTGGCTTTAAAGGAGGGTTGTGTGGTTTTAAAGGAGGGTTGTGTGGCTTTAAAAGAGGGTTGTGTGGTTTTAAAGGAGGGTTGTGTGGCTTTAAAGGAGGGTTGTGTGGCTTTAAAGGGTTGTGTGGCTTTAAAGGAGGGTTGTGTGGCTTTATCTTTATATATAAAGCTCCTTTCACAGTCCAGTCACTGAGTCCTTGGCAACAGGACCCATACAACAGACATGTCAAACTTAGGCCCGTGGGCCAAATCCGGCCCCAAAACCATGTTTTGTGGCCCCTGGACTGATTTTCAATTATCTTTATCAAAGTAATTAGTCATTGTAATTAGTACAATAAAATAAGATAAGTTAGGGCGACAGTGGCTCAGTGTGTAGAGCATTGGCCTTTGAGCCTGAAGGTCATGGGTTCGAGCCCAACACGAGACCTTCTCCACCGACTCCCACTGATGTCAGATTCAGATTCAGATTCAGATTCATTTATTGGCCATGTGCAGTATAAAAACTACATTGGAATACATTTGCAAATAAAGGTACTCTGTGTGCACCGACAGAATAAAAGCACGATACAATGTAATATAAAATACACATACACTGAATATAAAATAATAATAAAAACAGCTGACACTGTGGCACCGATCAACAAAACGATACAAGGGGTAAAAGCAGGAATTAAAGTGCTCTGTTTAGGCACCTAACAGCTTGTGGAAAGAAGCTGTTAGCATAAGGAATAGTTCACCGTTTTTACATACTGACATATGTTCTTACCTTACCTTAGACTAGTTAATACGTACCTGTCTGGTCTTAGTCCGTGCGCTCTGTCATGCAAACGGAGCAAAAACGGGAGCACAACCGCAGCCTCCTCTGTATATTTTGTAGCACCAAAAGGTAGCTCCCGCTAGAAGCTACCAAACTCTTCCAAGTGTTCCCTATTAAATGTATATAGTTACGTGACGTGTTACACTGCAAAGTATAGTAACACAGAAATGTAACAGTCGATTTTCTCAGCGGATAAAACGGGTACTATATTGTGAGGCGTAGTAATCTGAGGTGCGCTACGTCCGCGCACTAACTTCTCTCCGTACTACAAGTCACGCTGCTACTGTGTGTACTACAAGTCACGCTGCTTCTATTGACGGAAGTGAGCGAGAGAGAAGTCTCCGGAGAGAAGTTAGTGCGCGGACGTAGCGCTCCTCAGATTACTACGCCTCACAATATAGTACCCGTTTTATCCGCTGAGAAAATCGACTGTTACATTTCTGTGTTACTATACTTTGCAGTGTAACACGTCACGTAACTATATACATTTAATAGGGAACACTTGGAAGAGTTTGGTAGCTTCTAGCGGGAGCTACCTTTTGGTGCTACAAAATATACAGAGGAGGCTGCGGTTGTGCTCCCGTTTTTGCTATGTGTGTGTATGTGTATGTGTATGTGTATGTGTGTGTGTATATGTATATGTGTGTATGTTTGTGTATATGTGTGTGTGTATGTATGTTTGTGTGTGTGTGTGTGTGTATGTATATGTGTGTGTATATGTATGTGTGTGTGTGTGTATGTATATGTGTGTGTGTATGTATATGTGTGTGTGTGTGTATGTGTATGTGTATGTGTGTGTGTATGTATATGTGTATGTGTGTGTGTATGTATGTGTGTGTGTATGTATATGTGTGTGTATGTGTATGTGTATGTGTGTGTGTATGTATGTGTGTGTGTATGTATATGTATATGTGTGTGTATGTGTATGTGTATGTGTGTGTGTATGTATATGTGTGTGTATGTGTATGTGTATGTGTGTGTGTATGTATGTGTGTGTGTATGTATATGTGTGTGTATGTGTATGTGTATGTGTATGTGTATGTATATGTGTGTGTGTATGTATATGTGTGTGTATGTGTATGTGTATGTGTGTGTGTATGTATGTGTGTGTGTATGTATATGTGTGTGTATGTGTATGTGTATGTGTGTGTGTATGTATGTGTGTGTGTATGTATATGTGTGTGTATGTGTATGTGTATGTGTGTGTGTATGTATATGTGTGTGTATGTGTATGTGTATGTGTGTGTGTATGTATGTGTGTGTGTATGTATATGTGTGTGTATGTATATGTGTGTGTATGTGTATGTGTATGTATATGTGTGTATTCATCAAACTGAATTCTCCCCATTGTGGGACAAAGGACCTTCTTCTTGAGAAAGTACAAATGCACATGTCACACTCGGCACAGACAGAATCGCTCGGACAAAGACAGACGTGTGAAACATGTTAAAGGTCTGTGCAGGATGTAATTATGTACAATAACAGAAAGAGTGACGTTTGGATAAAAGCCGAGTCCATCCCCAACGCGAGGCACGTTCAGCGTCTCCGAGCGGCGAGCGGCGAGTGCTGGATCAGCGTTAGTGCGGCGCCGACACCTCATTGATCAAACGTCACGCGCTGCACCTCGGGATTGAAAACAGACCGATCATTTATACCCTCCACGCCTCAGCCACACATCACCGTCCCAGGGCGCCATTTCCCTCAAATTATCCTCGTTTACAGCAACGTGGCGTGTTCTGAGGAGGCTTTGACAACACGCCGTCTTTGTTGAACTCTGACGCGTTTGATTCGTGGAGAGCGCGGCTGAAAACGCTGCCAAGAAGAGCATGTGCGAGGGTTTGATTATTGATCTGTTCTAATTCAGACGGAGAGAAAGGAAGTGGGTCTGAAGACGGAGGGTGGCGCTGAAAAAATTATACAATACGAGCTAAATGTTGCTTAAATGTAGTGGTTTTTACCTTAATTTGAGTACATTCTATTGTAGCCTGGCCTTACCACACCACTGTACTCATTTCATTTCATACTAAGGTCTGGATTTGCTCCATTGACTCCGTGAACAGGTGGGAGGGGCTAACTCCTTTTGCAGATTGAAACCATTGGATCTGAGTTTACTGTGACGTATGTAATGAGCCCGAGTGCGAGGTTAGCATGTAGCCTAGCTTTAGCATGTAGCCTAGCTTTAGCCATCTCCTTTGCCACTAACGGAGCCCGTGGGGAGTAGAGCCACAACATCTTTGCTTCAATAACATTTACTAAACATTCCTCTTGCTCCGGCTTCAGTTTCTTGATATTTGGATTGAACCAGAACAGATTATTTTACTATCACATTCTCCGACAAACTACAATCTGCAAATTCTGACTTATTACCAAAAACCCCTCGTCTGAAAACACTTCTCCTGATCTAATCTCATTGTTCGTTTTCCCATTAAAAACCAAATGCCGTTTAGTCAAGTCGAGAATAAAACAGCGGAATGTGGAGCTTCTTCTGTCAATATTTATACACTCTTCTTCTTCTTCTTCTTCTTCTTCTTCTTCTTCATCTGCAGAAACTGTAGAAACTGTTTGGGGCTTGTCCTACTTTTTGACCCAGTATTTCATACGAGGCTAAAGACAATAGCCACAAGTGCTGAAAGAAAGATCCAGAACATCCATGGAACTAGTTTCTCGCTCTAAAAACAGTTTTTCACATTTTCTTTGGTCACATCTTTAGATCAGTGACAGAGAGAGGACCCGCCCCTCTCGGCCAATCAGCTCTCAGCACACTCTAACGTTAATGTGAATCAATGCCTTTGCAAAGTCCTTCGAGACGACTGCTGTGGTGATCAAGGGCTATACAATAATAAATATAAATAAATACATTGAAATTCATTGAGTTTTTTGTCTTCGGTCATTTTGCATTCTCAAACAGAACACACGGATCACGTCATATTCCAAAAAGAAAAGAGTTTAGGTTAAAGTGAAGAACTTATTGGAGCCTGAACCATCGCCACAACTCAGAAAAACCAAGAAACGGCAAAACAGCAGCATTCAGCTAAAAGAAAAAAGTCAATTGCATAAATTTAGAAAATGTAACGATGCTGCACAGACAGGACAAAGGACTGAAGTCTGCTGTTGCTGTGTCCTTGGGCAAGACACTCAACCCCACTTTGCCTGAAGCCCCCACTGACAGAGCAGACTCCTGTGGACTCAGAGAGAGGCTGGTGCTGTGACTGCCACTACCGACCCAGAAATGGATAAAGGGGAAGAAGATGGATGGACATTTAAATATGTTCCCGTAGTAAAAGTAGTCATTGTGGTCCTCCAACATAACTTTAAAATCTACAATCTCAAAACATGGAGGAGAAAGAACACGGCAAAAGACAAAACTATGACTTCCTCATTCCAAACTATGACTTCCTCATTCCAAATTATTACTTCCTCATTCCAAACTTTTACTTCCTCATTTCAAACTATTACTTCCTCCTTCCAAACTATCACTTCCTCATTCCAAACTATCACTTCCTCATTCCAAACTATCACTTCCTCATTCCAAACTATCACTTCCTCATTCCAAACTATTACTTCCTCATTCCAAACTATGACTTCCTCATTCCAAACTATCACTTCCTCATTCCAAACTATTACTTCCTCATTCCAAACTTTTACTTCCTCATTCCAAACTATTAATCCTCCTTCCAAACTATCACTTCCTCATTCCAAACTTGTACTTCCTCATTCCAAACTATCACTTCCTCATTCCAAACTATTACTTCCTCATTCCAAACTATCAATTCCTCATTCCAAACTATCACTTCCTCATTCCAAACTATCACTTCCTCGTTCCAAACTATTACTTCCTCATTCCAAACTATAACTTCCTCATTCCAAACTATTACTTCCTCATTCCAAACTATCACTTCCTCATTCCAAACTATCACTTCCTCATTCCAAACTATTACTTCCTCATTCCAAACTATCACTTCCTCATTCCAAACTATCACTTCCTCATTCCAAACTATGACTTCCTCATTCATGAGCTCCCCCCTTGGACTGCCACCTTAACGTGGTGGGGGAGTTTGAGCACTCGGATGATCCTGGGAGCTATGCTGTCTGGGGCTTCATGCCCCTGGTAGGGTCTCCCATGGCAGACAGGTCTCAGGTGACGAGTCAGACGAAGAGCAGTCAGAAGCCAACATGGACAGCACGAAAAGAAGAACCGTGACGTCGCCCGGCATGGCGCAGCCGGGGCCCCGCCCTGGAGCCAGGCCTGGGGTCGGGGCTCGAATGCGAGCGCCTGGTGGCCGGGCCTTAGCCCACGGGGCCCGGCCGGGCTCAGCCCGAAAGGACGACGTGGGCAGTCCCTCCTGTGGGCCCACCACCCGCAGAGGGGTCCGTGGCGGCTCGGTGCAGAGAGGACTGGGCAGCAGTCGAAGGCGGAGACCTCGGCGACCCAGTCCGCACACCCAACATCTGGCTCTTGGGACGTGGAACGTCACCTCACTGGGGGGGAAGGAGCCCGAGCTTATGGGGGAGGTTGAGAGGTACCGACTAGAGATAGTCGGCCTCACCTCCACACACAGCTTGGGCTCTGGAACCCAACTCCTTGAGAGGGGTTGGACGCTCCACTTTTCTGGTGTTTCTCGCGGGGAGAGGCGGCAGGCTGGGGTGGCCATACTCATTGCCCCCCATCTCAGCCGCCACGTGTTGGAGTTCTCCCCGGTGAATGAGAGGGTCGCGTCCCTCCGCCTTCGGGTGGGGGACAAGTCTCTCACTGTTGTGACGGCCTACGGGCCTAACAGCAGTGCAGAGTACCTGGCCTTGGGAGGGGTACTGGACGGTGCACCGCCCGGGGACTCCGTCATTCTCCTGGGGGACTTTAACGCCCATGTGGGAAGCGCCAGTGACACTTGGAGAGGGGTGATCGGGAAGAATGGCCCCCCTGATCTGAACCCGAGTGGTGTTCAGTTGTTGGACTTCTGTGCTAGTCACGGTTTGTCCATCACGAACACCATGTTTGAGCACAAGGGTGTCCACCAGTGCACGTGGCACCAGGACACCCTAGGCCGGAGGTCGATGATCGACTTTGTTGTCGTATCATCTGACCTTCGACCGCGTGTTTTGGACACTCGGGTAAAGAGAGGGGCGGAGCTGTCAACCAATCATCACCTGGTCGTGAGTTGGATCCGCTGGCAGGGGAAGAAGCCGGTCAGACCTGTCAGATCGTAGCTGTGGTCGCAAGGTCTCTGGTGCTGGTCCCGGCGGCAACCCCCGAACCCGGTGGTGGACACCGGCAGTAAGGGATGCCGTCAGGCTGAAGAAGGAGTCCTATTGAGCCATGATGGTTCGGGGGACTCCTGAGGCAGCTGTCCAGTACCGGCAGGCCAAGCGTGTCGCGGCCCGGGCTGTTGCAGAGGCAAAAACCCGGGACTGGGAGGAATTCGGAGAGTCCATGGAGCATGACTATCGGTCGGCCTCGAAGAGATTCTGGCAAACTGTCCGGCGCCTCAGGAGGGGGAAGCAGTTCCTTGCCAACAACGTGTACGGTGCGGGGGGTGAGCTGCTGACCTCGACCGGGGATATTGTCGGACGGTGGAAGGAATACTTTGAGGTTCTCCTCAATCCCCCCGTCACGTCCTCCGCTCCGGAGGCAGAGGCTGAGGATGTTGGGGCGGATACTTCTGTCACCCTGGCAGAGGTCACCAAGGTGGTTGGCAGCCTCCTTGGTGGCAAGGCGCCGGGAGTGGATGAGATCCGTCCTGACTATCTAAAGTCTCTGGATGTTGTGGGACTGTCTTGGCTGACACGTCTCTGCAACATCGCGTGGCGATCGGGGGCGGTGCCAATGGAGTGGCAGACCGGGGTGGTGGTCCCTCTCTACAAGAAGGGGGACCGGAGGGTGTGTTCCAATTATCGTGGGATCACACTCCTCAGCCTCCCTGGTAAGGTTTACTCCAAGGTACTGGAGAGGAGGCTACGGCCGATGGTCGAATCTCGGATTCAGGAGGAGCAGTGTGGTTTTCGTCCCGGCCGTGGAACACTGGACCAGCTCTATACTCTCCATCGGATACTCGAGGGTTCATGGGAGTTCGCCCAACCTGTCCACATGTGCTTTGTGGATTTGGAGAAGGTGTTCGACCGTGTTCCCCGGGGTGTCCTTTGGGGGGTCCTCCGTGAGTACGGGGTCCGGGGTCCTCTGCTGAGGGCCGTCCGGTCCCTGTATGACCGGAGCCAGAGCTGCGTGCGCATTGCTGGCAGTAAGTCAGACCTGTTCCCGGTGCATGTTGGCCTCCGACAGGGCTGCCCTTTGTCACCGGTTCTGTTCACTGTATTTATGGACAGAATATCTAGGCGCAGCCAGGGGTCGGAGGGGGTCCGGTTCGGGGACCACAGGATTTCATCTCTGCTGTTTGCAGACGATGTTGTCCTGTTGGCTCCAACGAACCAGGACCTACAACATGCACTGGGACAGTTTGCAGCCGAGTGTGAAGCGGCTGGGATGAGAATCAGCACCTCCAAATCTGAGGCCATGGTGCTCGACCGGAAAAAGGTGCCCTGCCCTCTCCGGGTGGGTGGAGAGGCCCTTCCTCAAGTGGAGGAGTTCAAGTATCTCGGGGTCTTGTTCACGAGTGAGGGAAGAATGGAGCGTGAGATTGACAGGCGGATCGGTGCAGCGTGCGCAGTGATGCGGTCGCTGTATCGGACCGTTGTGGTAAAGAGGGAGCAGCGTCTGCAGTCAGAGCTGTATCGGACCGTTGTGGTGAAGAGGGAGCTGAGCCGAAAGGCAAAGCTCTCAATTTACCGGTCAATCTTTGTCCCCTCCCTCACCTATGGTCATGAGCATTGGGTAATGACCGAAAGAACAAGATCGCGGATACAAGCGTCGAAATGAGCTTCCTCCGCAGAGTGGCTGGGCGCTCCCTTAGAGATAGGGTGAGGAGTTCAGTCACACGGGAGGAGCTCGGAGTAGAGCCGCTGCTTCTCCACGTCGAGAGGAACCAGTTGAGGTGGCTCGGGCATCTGTTCCGGATGCCTCCTGGACGCCTTCCTGGGGAGGTGTTCCGGGCATGTCCCACCGGGAGGAGGCCCCGGGGAAGACCCAGGACACGCTGGAGGGACTATGTCTCTCAGCTGGCCTGGGAACGCCTTGGGGTCGGACGAGCTGGAGGAAGTGTGTGTGGATAGGGAAGTCTGGGCGTCTCTGCTTAGACTGCTGCCCCCGCGACCCGGCAACGGATGAAGCGGAAGAAAATGGATGGATGGATGGATGGACTTCCTCATTCCAAACTATGACTTCCTCATTCCAAACTATCACTTCCTCATTCCAAACTATCACTTCCTCATTCAAACTATTACTTCCTCATTCCAAACTATCACTTCCTCATTCCAAACTATCACTTCCTCATTCCAAACTATTACTTCCTCATTCCAAACTATGACTTCCTCATTCCAAACTATCACTTCCTCATTCCAAACTATCACTTCCTCATTCCAAACTATTACTTCCTCATTCCAAACTTTTACTTCCTCATTCCAAACTTTTACTTCCTCATTCCAAACTTTTACTTCCTCATTCCAAACTATCACTTCCTCATTCCAAACTATCACTT